CACACACACAAAAATAAAAAATTAGGACCAGATGGGATAAGCATATCCCCTATCTGGGATGGACAAGAATAAACCGTGTGTGTGTGTGTGTGTATATGAAATTTATATTTATTTATAAAATGTGTGAGAAGTGTATGAAAAGGAGACATGAATGTACATAGAGTTTATGAAATCAATTTATAAAATTTACCCAAAAGGGAAGGTGGAAATGTATGAATTAATTAGCGGCATTAATTCGTCTTAGCCGTAAGGGAGTGTCAAAATTAATTCCAAATATGTACATGTAGTCTATAAATAGCCTCTTAATAGATAAATGGTTAGACATATTAGAATAATAAAAAAAAATCTAGAAAGGTAAGTACACAGCCAGTTCAGAACGCACGTTTGTTTTCATCGGGGTCACCAAAGAACCAGAGGATGGAAATGAAAGATAAAAGACCTTCTGAAACCTCATGGCAAGGAAGGAGCAGCCCCTCAAATCTCATGTAGCTTTGAATGTCTTATATCATTTCGTTGAACATCAAATATTTTGGGTGAGAAAACTCACAATTAAAACTTGTTGAGGTCCTGAATCCTTCCACGGTTTAGGACTTCCGCAGCAATGTTTTGACTGGAGTCGCATTTTAAGACCATGACCACGCATGCTAGAAGTGACTCCACGACTGTTCCTATTGCCCTCCCCATTCCATATCCATTCATCAGTCTACTGCTTGGCCATCAAACCATAACTCATCCAATCTATGATTAACCCCAGGTGGTGAAACGCATAAGAGACATTGGGGGGAGGGGACGACTCACGGTGATGTACACATTGCATATCATACTTTGTATTTCTCTTCTTGGAATTTGTTTGGATCCTCTTGAGTAAAACTTTGGACTTTACATCTTCTGGAGATTGGTAACCTCATCCAATGTTTTTGTTTTCAAGGTCAACATGCTGGTCCTGGGAAACAATCTTGGCATTCCCAAGCCGTTTGGCCCCAAGATTAATGGGAAGTGCTGCTTGGAGGAGAAGGTCCGCTCCCAGCTGGAACCGTTGGGGTTAACATGCTACTTCCTGGACGACTTTGCCTCCTACCACCAGTACTGCGGAGAGATTCACTGCGGCACCAACGTAGTCAGGAAACCGTTCAACTTCAAGTGGTGGCAATGCGAACCTTAACCCTCCGACGCAAGAGGCGGAAATGACGCGGTTTTCACCAGCAATGGACGCAATTTACAAAACCTGGCACCGTGGAAGACGCACGGAACCTCCATGCAACCCAAGAAAAGGACCATTAAGCAACTATTTTCTTCACTTCTACGACCTCTGCTTGATGACGTGGCCTGTAGACCAGGAGCTGGTTGTACTGGTGGACGCTGGGCTTAGTTTTCTACCTAGTTTTTGCTGGAAACGGGGAGATAGAAGGGGCACCGGGAGCTTGATTATATATATATTTAACCACAGAGCAATTGTTTCTGGAAAGCTGTGAATAAAGGTTCGGCCTCCGTGGGTGAATCTCCACATTGCGGTTACTTTGACAAGTTGAAACACACGACACAAATTACGATGTTTTCAGTTGCTGGGATTGCCGACGACACAAGAGTATTATTAAAGAGAGTTGCAGTAAGTATCCATATTGGCCGCCTCCACAAACCTCAATGCTACTGCAGAGATTATATACAAGATCGGTGGGAGGTTCCTGACACACCAACTGCAAATTTTGCAATTAAATCTAAACTCCGGCGTCACCTCCCCTTCAGTCTTCTCTCTGACCTCCGTCCTCCCCTTCAGTCTTCTCTCTGACCTCCGTCCTCCCCTTCAGTCTTATATCTGACCTCCGTCCTCCCCTTCAGTCTTATATCTGACCTCCGTCCTCCCCTTCAGTCTTCTATCTGACCTCCGTCCTCCCCTTCAGTCTTATATCTGACCTCCGTCCTCCCCTTCAGTCTTCTATCTGACCTACGTCCTCCCCTTCAGTCTTTCCTCTGACCTCCGTCCTCCCCTTCCGTCTTCTATCTGACCTCCGTCCTCCCCTTCAGTCTTCTATCTGACCTCCGTCCATCCCTTCAGTCTTCTATCTGACCTCCGTCCATCCCTTCAGTCTTCTATCTGACCTCCGTCCATCCCTTCAGTCTTCTATCTGACCTCCCCTTCAATCTTCTATCTGACCTCTGTCCTCCCCTTCAGTCTTCTATCTGACCTCCCCTTCAATCTTCTATCTGACCTCCGTCCATCCCTTCAGTCTTCTATCTGACCTCCCCTTCAATCTTCTATCTGACCTCCGTCCATCCCTTCAGTCTTCTATCTGACCTCCCCTTCAGTCTTCTATCTGACCTCCATCCTTCCCTTCAGTCTTGCACAGTTGTACTGGTTTCCTCTGATAATCCCTGTACACTGGGAACTTCCCAATGTGCATTGTAAGCCGCAGCAAGTCAGATAGAGCTCCGCCTCATTTCCTGGCTGGAGGACGTCCAGTGTTATCTAGCCCAGGGGTAGACAACCTTAGCACCCCAGCTGTGGTTGACACTACAAATCCCCATGAGGCAATACGAGGCTCTTGACAGCCACGGCAGGATTTGTAGTTTCACTACAGCTGGAATGCCTACCCCTGATCTAGCCCTTCCTTCCCCAGCATGACTACGCCTGGCCCCGCCCCCATCTTACAGTTCCTTCATCTATGGAGGTTCAGCATCACATGTGGGCATTGCCTAGGACGGTCTCCATAGATATACAACCTGCCTAGGATCAACACCAGCCCCAACGCGGATGATATAACCCCATTGAAATCAATGAGGCCGCGCCCACGATCGCGCAGGTGTGAACCTAGCGCCGATCCCGCCTCCGCTTCAAACTTTCACATTCTCTTTAATCTCGTTTCATTAAAAAAAAAAAGCCAACACGGGAAAAATAAATCGGAGAACTCGGAGCGTTTACACAAAGACGTCTTTTTTATTTAAACAACCAACTTGAGAAATATAAAACAAAATAAAACAGAAAAAAAACAAAACCAAACAGCGACCCCCCCCGTGGGCCCTGTAACCTCACGCGACTAAGGATACCAAGAGCACCGTGGGAAGACGCAGCTGCGGCATAGCCACAGGAATGAGACCTCGCCGTCCTGGTTCGAGGCCGCCTCCGGGGACACAAATCTCTACAGTTAGTGT